AGGATCTTAAAAATAGAATTGAAACTTCGCAATCACCTCACACATGAAGGAAATAAATGTGACGACAAACAAAACTTGTCTGTATTTACTTGAGTGACAACAAGGTGAAAGATGGCATTGCGGTGGTCTTTGTGTTTGTTCTTCATGTGCATTTGCCTTAAAGGTATGGATAGTTCATATATTTAGCTGTAATCTTTAATTCTCACTTCTTTTATAGGCCTTTGTGTTTTTGTACAGACAAATTATGACAAGTGTTAGATGATCTGGTCTGTATTATTCCATGCTGCTGTCCTTCTTTCATTCTTTGTCTTATTCCTGTGCTTTATTTAATCGCATTTTACTCTGCACTTTATTACAGTTACGCCAACAGAAGCTTCATCTTGGAGCGCCACTGTGCCATCCTCAGTGAAAGGTCTTCTTGGCGCATGTGTGGTAATCCCCTGCTCTTATAACTACCCATATCCACAAACCAATACCACAAGCATTACAGGCATTTGGTATAATAAGGATAATCAAGTCATCTGTCATTCGGATAAGTCTCAAACTTCGGGTCAGTTTCGGAATCGGACAAAGCTGCTGGGAGACCTCAGCAAGAAGAACTGTTCTCTGATGATTGATGATCTTCAACAAAGTGATGTGGGGCCTTTATATTTCCGGATTGAAATTAAAGGCTATGACCAGTACTCCTACAAAAGTAACAAAGTCTCTGTTTCAGTCAGTAAGTAAAATAAATATGGTTACCAGTAAAGTCTTGTGTTCTAGCTCTAATAGTTCTCTTTTTATTTCCAGTATTTTTACCATCATGTTGGACGTTTGACATTCAGCATTCGTGAGCATTTTAGTTTTAGTGAAACAGGTCTGATCTAAGTCTTTTATACTCCTTTGAATATAAATATGAAGTAAATATTGTAGGGTCAGGTTGCAGTGTTCTGGAACATTTTGCATTCATTTTTGCAGACTTGCTTTAGTTGTTGAACTACTCATTCAAACCTTAGATGTAAAAATGTATTTGTACAACTCATCAAATTATGATAATCAATCAAAATCAATGGCAATAGCAGTTATCATTATACTCCAACCATGTTATCAACTATCAATTCGCTCTGTTCTTTATAAATTGTTTATTGTAAAACTGCTCAGCTTCTTCTTCTTTGTCAGTCAGATATTGAAAGTAATTATCACCTAGTTTATTTCTTATTTCATTCATCTTTAAGCTTGAAATCACACTCAAAACCCTTTACTGTGAACAGTTTATTAACTTGACTAAAATTTAAAGTTGCATACAACATAAAATCAGCAGCTGTACTGGTTAAGTACATTTGTATTTCCATTACAGTATAAACTTACTGCCATGATGGAGTTCTGGTTTATGACCACAGTCTTTTTTGTTAACACAGGTCAACCTGATTTCTCTGTGCAAGAGGAGATAAAGGAGGGTGAGAATGTGTCTGCATCCTGCTCCGTGTTTCACTCCTGCCCCAAATATCCACCTTCTTTCATCTGGAGTCACTCTGGAGAGCAGCACGATCAAACACAGCAGCTTCATGAAGGCCAGTGGAATTCAACATCTACTCTGACCTTTC